CTGGGCACACCTGGGCCAGCGCCGCAGTTACCTGCGGGATTGGTGAGAGCGTTTTCGCGAGGTCGAAAACTCCGGGTGGGTTTTGTCCCCTGCCTTTGATCTTCCTTAGTCACTGGTTAAAGTGCGAAGTGTGCTTTATTTTACATATGCCTTTAGAGGGACATTCTTAATGCGCCAATGCCCCGAGGTGGAACTAAATAAAGGGAAGGCCTGGTCATTGTTACTGTTAAGACTGCTGTACTTAATAGCCAGAGGAAGGCAGCTGGTCACCACGACCCCCCTGGCCATTCCCATACTGAAGACTCCCTCTCACTTCATGCTTGTTTGGACTCCACTATGACTTGCTAGTGGCCCATCTTCTGGATCCCTCTGTTGGAGCTGTTTAGAAGACGGTTGTGGCAGGCTCCAGTTTCAGTCCTTGGCTGAAATAAGTGTAGTGTGGCTCTTCTGTTTTCTAATCTGTCACCTTAAAAGGTTAAAGTGACAAACAGGTGGTGGGTACGGTAGAGTTGTTTTTGGTGCTTGGTAACATGAAAAACTTGGAATGCATTTAGCTCTTCGAAAGATGCTGAAACGGACAACTTCAGTTATTCCTTATGTTACTACAGAATTAGGAGAAATGGTTGAAAGAGGAGAGGTTTTTTTCTTGGAGTATCCAAAGGGATTGGATTTGACTACACTGACTGGGTGTGTAATGGTCGAGTAGGAAGGAAGATGAACATAACACTGCTATTAATGATGCTCTTAGATGTGAGGCCACATTGAGGATGCGATGCATGTAACCCTTGACTGCAGAATCACTTAGCACTTTGCTGCACAATATTGGGGTCACAAGAAATATTAAGCTTGGTAAACCTCTGCAGTGTGCTCTCACTCCATTTCCAAAGAAAGGGTATTGGTGGGAAGGTGATCTGGTGAAGACAGAGGTAAAGAAAGTGAAGGAACTGTGTTAACTTTCGCTTTTTAAAACATTTATTTTTATTTTTTAGAGATAGGGTCTCACTGTGTCACCCAGGCTGAAGTGCAGTGGTACCATCATGGCTCACTGCAGCCTTGACCTCCTGGGCTCAAAGGATCCCCCCTCAGCCTATGGACTGGGAGGATAACTGTGCACCACCATGCCTGGCTAATTATCTAAATTTTTTTGTAGGGATGGAAACTCACTTAACTTTCACTTTAAAGAGAAGTAAGTTTGCATATTTGAAAGCTCATCATAAGAATCTTCGGTGCTCTGTATCATCTGTGTAACTTCACTGCAGTACCTGTGTGGTTTTATCTTAAACTACACTTCTTATTCCACTTTGGTGGTAATAAGCCTCTTTAGCTTAGCATGGGACTTGACACGTGGGTAAGTGCATGCTCAACAAATACTCGTAGGACTGAATCCATATATGAGCAGACAACTGCTGAGCAGAGGCAGAAGGTGATAAAAAGCAGCAGTGAGGGAGATCAGGCTGACTGTGAAGGAAGATTTGCAGATGGAAAGCCCTGGAATTCTTCCTATGAAGAACAGGCCGACCTGAAAGCCACTTCCAGGAGGTTGTGTAGGAAGCACCAGCACCCAGTCTGACCAAGGAAGCAGAGGCCTTCACCCCTCCTTCCCCCATCACTCCTTCAAGTGGGTCAAGGTTTCCATTCTCCAGAGAGCTGAAGGAAGGTTTGAAAATCACCATTAGATAAGTGTTCATTCTTTCAGTTAATTATTTTAATTAAGAAAGAATGCTGCTGCTGGTGAAGTGGGGGCGTGAGCAGGAAAGGTAGGTTTCGTGGGCTGGAGGCAGGGTGGAAAGGATAAATTCCGTTTATACAACATTGGATTGAGAAAACCAAATACCGCATGTTCTCACAAGTGGGAACTAAATGATGAACACACATGGACACATGAAGGGGAACACCACACACTGGGGCTTATCAAAGGTTGGGAGGAGGGAGAGGATCAGGAAGAATAACTAATGGGTACTAGGCTTAATAGCTGGGTGATGAAATAATCTGTACAACAGACCCCCATGACATGAGTTTACCTGTGTAACCAACCTGCACATGTAACCTAACTGAAAACAAAAGTTAAAACAATGCGTTTATCAAATTACTCTGCTAAAATATTATTTTAGGAATGCTTAGATCATGTATTAATATATTATAGAAAATATATTTTGGTAAAAGCAAAATGGTTTTGCATTGCGAAAAACTAAACATATTCTTTGGCTCATCCTTAAACAACAGAAAACCATTGAATTGAAAACCATTGAAAACCCTGAAATGGCTTTTCACTGGAGAGAGAAACTCTGATGTTGGATCAGGGGGAAGCCAGTTAGGAAGTACTCAGCGACTATGGGGGTGACCCTAAAAAGCGTGTGTTAGGGTGAATAAACTAGCACTGAGAGAAAAGAACAGTTCCATGACTATGGTCCATGCCCAGGAAAGGAGTCAGTGAGAGAAACTAAGAAGTAGTCTGAGGGGGAGGAAAACCAGGTGTCTCAGTCACAGGGAAGCCAGTGGAGAAATAAGGGAGGGAATGCAGGGAACAGCATGGTAAGTCTTGTCAGTTGCCAATAAAAAAATAAGAACTGAGAAGATGTAGTTGAACTTGGGTAAAAAGAGGTGATCTCAGTGGTGACACATCAGTGCAAGCTGTGTGTAAATGTTTTGCTTTCTGTTTGAGGAATACAGATGTCCTCCTTTCATTCGAATAGCATTTTACACTTTACAAAACATTTCCATCTTGTAGCATTGGCAACAATATTTTGAGGATAGTTTATTATAGGAACATACCTCCAATTGAAGAAAACTATTTAGGTCCATTAAAAAACAACAATGCACTGTTTACTACAGTGAATAACAGCAAGCAGTATAAATATCAGCATCTTGTACTTAAGCAAAATAAAGCAGAACGATGAAATTAGAAGATGCTTGGGGGAAATGAAGCTTTTCAGTTCACTCATACACATATAATCTTTGTTTTAAGCATTTGCATGAATTTTTTAAAGGACAGTGCTTTAGGATAATTATCCGTATTTTATTTTGCAAATACAAACGATTTTTTCCACGGTAGCAATGGAAAAGTGAAACCTTAACTGTGAGCCCATCAGAGTTGTCACAGCTCTGTTCCCTTGACCTATGTGAACCTTTTGGGGATGATGTCGCAGTAGTGGCGGCCCTGCTCAGTGTCACCTGGTGAACCTTCTTCATTTTGTGTTGATCTGAGCTCATATGGGAAACATTCTCTTAATGAGGCTGGAAGTAATGAGGCAAGCTCTGACAATGCTTATGTATCCCTCCTGAAGATGGATGTGAAATGGTAAAAGTGTGGTTGCTGCCACAATTAATAATTGATTAATAAACTGTTTGAAAAGTATCAGGTGGGGACCTCAGGAGATGAACAACAGTGCATGCATCTCATTTCTTTTCACTGTAACTAGCCAGAGAGAATGTGTTTAACTAGAGGGACAAATAGAGAGTACAACACTTTTACATTTTGGTATGTAAGCAAGCTATTCTGATAGCTTTTAAGATGATCATGACAGGAACTTTTTAGATTAAATCAGCATTGCTCCAGTCTTTTTTTTTTTTTTTTTTTTTTTTTTTTTTTTTTTTTTTGAGTGAATTGAGGAACGTAGGGGTGAGGCATTTTTTTCGGGTATCCACTTTGTGTCAGTTGTGTACTGTGTGTATGGGGGTGACTATGCAGACATGACGCCTGCCTTCATGGAGCTTGTAGTCCAGTGAGAGACAGGTAGCAACGAATCAGCCAAACATATGTAAGTACAGACTTTAAGTAACCCTGAAAAAGACCCACATGAGTGCCTAATGCAGGTTTGTGGGCCAGAAGAGGTGCCTGAGGATGAGTAGCTGCTAGCCAGGTGGGGAATGGAGGCAAAAGGAAGTTCAGGCAGAAAGAAGCCCCTGAGGCGGTTTCTAGGGAAAGAGCTTGGTGCCCTGGAGGAAGGAGAGAAGACCCCAGGCAGGAGGGCAGGGCCTGGGTGGGAAATGGCTGGAGGCCCCAGGAAGGCCTCGTTGAGGTCTGTGCAGCTTATTCAGACCAGTTAGGATACCATTGCAGGTGTCCAGTTGGGAGTCAGGGAGGTGACCTTGGGCTGGGGAGTGGGGCATGGAGGTGGGTGGAAGTGGAGGGACTTGAGTATTTTGGAGGTGTAATTTACAGAATTGCTGATGGGTTAGAGGGTAGGCAAACGGGGAGATTCCAGGATTACTCCTTTGATCTCTAGCATGAGAAGCGGAGTGAATTTTGGAGATGGGGAAGACTGGGGAGCAGTGTACCTGGTAACTTTGCTTGGATCATTTCCCCAGTGTGAGCCCTAGGGGAAAGAGGTTATTTTTAAGGCGACAACTTGGTGTAGTTGTGGTGTGTGTCAGGCACTCAGCACTGTGCTAGGCAGATGGTTTTGGAGCTTAGCAAATGTGGGCTTTTCCCCTTTTCTGTGATGATGGGTTTTAATATTCTGCTTAGGCACTAGGCCTAATAGCCCTCCTGAATTTGAACTCCCAGTCTGTCTGTACATGGGCACATGCCCCCAAACACATGCAGTCTTAGAGTGTGCCATCAAGAGCCTCTGTGGTAACTTCTCAGTCCTGACCAGACGGTCTAAATTATTGGAGGTGCCGAATGGACCATTTTTATCTCATTTTCCCTGCAGCATGGAGCCCCAGCACTGATCCTGACGTTGGGACCTTCCAAACTCCCGAAGGGTCAGTGGTTCTGTAATTATGAGCCATTGCTTAATTTTCATCCTTTCTTCTTTTGTGAGTACTTCCCGGAGTGACAACATATAAAAAATAGTATTTGGTCATTATTACTGTTATGATGATTTATTTCTAAATAAAAATCAAGGACCAGATTATAGCCGCAATTCCAGGCCTGTATGGGATGTAGGTTAGTGCTGATGCCAATCAAAGCCCAGTTCATAGAAGAGCAGCTGTCTGACTCCTGGCTTTGATTTTCTAATCTGGTTACACCTGGTACACTCACTTGGTGCTGTGTGGCAAATGGGTTAAGATCTAAATCCAGGGCCAACAATTTGGATGTCTAAAGGAAAGTAATAAGGAAAGTAGGCAGA